AATGCTCGTCATGCAAATCTAATTGTGTACATATATCTATGTAAATATTGCGGGTTTTGAATAAGCTCGCAGATTAGATTGTCTAGTCAAAATGCCAGCAATTTACAATAAGCAATTATAGAATTTATTTATTCATGTAGGTGCCTTGTATTTACGCACACTCATTGGCAAAGCACTCGTGGGTTATGCAGAAGGGAAATGTGTGAGATTAAAACAAGTAGGTACAAACTGCCTGGTTTGAGAATCTAAAACATTTTTTAACGCGCACCCGAACGTAACAATAGAGTTGGAGACTTGAAAAGTTAAAATGCACGAAGACCACGCGAGCAATAACCAAACCACAGAACGTGGTTAATAGATGTGTGAGTGGCTAATAATCTGTCTCATTAACATATATGACTGAGACCTCGTTCCTTTTTCGGCAACGCGTTGCTTGTCGCTCGTTTCTTATTTCCTCCGGAGTTCTTTCCTTTCAACCGGCCGGCCTGTGCTTCGACACGACGGCGTGTGAAACGGGCGGCGAGTGAAACGAAACACCAAATACCAAACACGAAAGGGAAACACATAAACGTGCCGCGAAAAAGTCTTGGGCGCGAGTTTGGGCCCTCAAAGCGGGCGAGGACTGTTGCCGCTCTGTCTGGCAGGAAACCGAACCACAACAAATGATTATTGCCCAAATAGCTTCGACGGGCCAAAAGTCAAGTGCAAAACAAAATAAAAACACCTTTCATAATGTTGAATTTTAAATTATTCAATATGTAGCTATTGTAGCATACCAAAAAAACAAAACCTGTTAAGGTCATTAAATAGGACTTTAATTTAAGGAGATGAATGGGACTTTCAAAATTTAGTTTCTTTAGTTCTCCTTTCCGTATTGTAAAGACTTAGATGTAATTCCTATCTTATTTAAACAAATGAACATATAATGTAACTGCCACTTAAAACAAACAATATAATCATGCCAAGACACAAAGAAATATTATATTAATTTATGTATCAAGGCATTAAGTTTAATTTGTTTTTAAATAAGCAAGTGCTAATCAGTCTAACCTGTTCTGAAATTATTTCCTTCCTACCTCGGTAGGTTAAGTGAGGATAGGTTAAATGTAAAATAAGTGCATCTATTATAGATTTCCACATTTGAAGTGAAGCACATTTATAATTTGCGAGTAATTTCCATGCCATTAATTTCACTGGGCAGCAAAAAAACCCACACCTACAAAATAATAATTAGGTAACCTAATCTAACCTAACTTACACATTTTATTCACCTATTCAAAATTAATTAAAAGTTATGATACCTAGCAAAACTTTATAAAGTTTATGAAAGCCTTATGAAAGAAAATCAACGTTATGAACCTTACCATTAAAATTCAAACTTTATCCTATTACAAAATTACAACGCAACAATATAGTATTTTTCTATGTAACCTATAGAAAAATTATAGGCCAAAGGTGAAGTGAAGAATTTTCTATGAATATTGGTGGAGGTGCTAACTGCAGCTTTAAATAGTATAAAATCGATAATGTTGCACACGTGTGGCACGTGACATGCAGCCGGGATATCTTTATATAGAATATGCTTGATCGTTCTAAATCACGTTTTTCTGCGGTTAACTGATGTCACAGCTGCACAGTGATAAAGTAAGCTCCATGTTCGTATAAAATTTTACGATTATTACGCCATTTACCCATTTTCATCATTTGTTCAATCGCACTACGAGTCATTAAATACACTGGAAACATATAATGGAAGTAGGTAGTTGATATCAATTAATCAAATACCTACATAATCTTTACTTTAGTTTAATCTGGATATCTAAAGAGAGCTGTGCATAAAAGAAAATACCTATATAGAATATATAATAATAATAATCATTATTTAATATTGACAACTTAAGTTGCTTAATTTTGGCGCACTTTGTTTCAATCCATCAATATAATAATTAATTTCGTCTGTACGAGATATACCATTGTTTAATTGGCAGTTACCTATTATAGTACGCCTTTGTTTTATACGCAGATATTGTGATTCGGCTGCAATGCGAGGGTGATGAGAATGGACAATGAAATTCAATATTTGTCCGCACCGATGGCAGACATTATTATCGCAATTCAATTTGCCCACGTTCGCCGTAATTCCGCGTAATATTACATACCTACGTATTCACCGAAAATCCTCTTTTCACATCATATTACATTTCGTAGATTTCAACCATTATGACGCATGCATCTCACAAAAACAAACAGTTTTTTTCAGCGCGGCAGCTTCGCGTTTAATGATACGCTGCCTTAATTTATGTTGCCACTCGATTATTGTACGAAGCTGCGTATAATGTGTCAACTGTCATGCGCCGGGCTTTAGGAGATCTCGAAAATAAGAAGCGCGCACCGCCGGACGAAATGGTGAAATTATTAATAAGTTTGATGGGTGTCAAGGTGTCGCATCAAGCGTAGTTATCTCCGATCGGGCCGCTCGCTTTTATTCTCAAGCTCGCCGGCTGCGTTTATGTCGACTTACGGGCGCGAAGCTTCATCTACGTCGGCGAGGTGCCTTCAAGCTCATTGCGCGCTTGGCGGCAACTTGGTGTCTCCTTTGGTGTTTTGTTTAATTTCATTTAAACATTTCGTGCGGCAAACCAGCAATGCCGATCAAGTCGCTTTAACTCCACGTTCAGATTTCCTCACACGCATTTTCATTAACTCAACTCAACTTAACTCAACTTAGCATTTGTATTAACATAACAGAACACACAACACTGCATAACACATCATGAATTGTGATATCCTCGCATTATTCGGGCGTAATGCATGAATGAATTTATTAATTAGAAGACAGTTTTCCTACCTAATTAGTATGCCAATTTGGAATAATAAATTAATGTTTAATCAACAATGCAATTAGGTACGTGTGCGTGTATTGTGCATAACAAGCGTGGAAATATATAGCAAGATTTACTGCGGCCGTGAATAATGATTAATTTTGACAATGGACTATATTAAAATTAAACCAATTGCGAATGAAATATTCATTGGTTCAACAATCATTTTCATACAAATCAATAGCATCAATAGATAATTGCATCGGATAATTAAAATTCGTAGGTATTACGTATTTTTTAATGAATTCATTGCTGTTAGCATTATTTTCGTTTTTAGATTTAAGATTTTTATCGGGTTGTGATTAATGCTTATCTTTATTTGTTCAGGAGCACATAAATCTTCAAACTTTATCACAATATATTAATAATATTCAATCAAAAATGTGCTTATGAAGGTAAATCAAAAATTAAAATATTAACTGTTCAAATTCATTTTTCAAAAATAGAGTTAAATTTTTTTTTTGTTTGGGCCAGTATTTACGAAATAAAATTTCAATAGCTAGATAGGTATTAATAAATAATGAAGTAGGTAAATAATCCATTTCTATTAACATGTCTACACAGGCATTCAACATAAAATACAATGTTTTTGTATTCATCAATAATTGCTGTCCAAAATTAAATGTTAACCAAACTTAATTTTGCTTTAGTTTTAAAATTTCCTGTTTTTCACTATAAGTTCATACAGGTCATTTACGTATCTATACATAAAAAAATTTGACTAATTTGACTGTATTTGACTACATGTGAAGACTACTCATAAATATTGTTAAAATGTCGCAGTAGCAAATTCTAATTCAGTATTAATATAGATGAATTTAACTAAACTTTAGATTAACCTTCAAAGCTTCCGACCCTTTTCAAGCGCAACCATCCTCGAATCCTAGGACGTTCCTCTCTCGTTAATTTCTAATATGTATTTCCTTATCCTATTTCGGTAGCCGCGCCAACGAATATTTGCGTGTGCTCCCAAACAAAACTTCCAACAACCGGGCATACAGCAGTTACGCAAACTTCCTGCATGCACATCTAGTCGCAAAGCAAGTTATTCAAATGAGGGCGGCGACGAAGCTTAATTAATACCAGTCTTCCCACGGCTTTGTCCTCAGCTGATTATCTATTCCATAATTTGAGGCAACTTAATTCCTCGCGCTGGCAAACAATGCCCAACCTCGTTGTGACGCTAGTTTGTTAATAGTTTGCTAATTATTGTTAATTAATGTGCACGCGCTCAAATATCAGTGCGACGTGACAAATTCACGTTCAACAGTTGGGATTTATTGACGCCACGCTGGTCGAAGATATTCGGAATAAAAGCAGCATTGCGAATTGTATGGCAAGCATTTTCAATGTAGGTAAACGAAATAATGAGCATAGTGCTGTAAATGCCGTAAGCATGTTTAGTGCGGTTTATATCTTTATCGCAAAATAAAGCGACTTCACTTACTTCATGCTCGTACAATCGTTGGAATGCGAGAGTGCTGCGCGCACTTTCGTTGTTTACATGTTCGCGCCGAGAAAAATAACTGATTAAAGTCTTTCATTTTTCCGGCAGGTTGGGATTTCGAGGAGCGACGGCGCGCAGAAACTAAACGAAATTAAATTTAAAGAATTTTCTTTTCGCTTGCAAATAATAGAAATTTAACTCGACGAATAAAATTGAATACGGCGAAGAGCCTCTTCGCCCATTATGACGATGAGATGAGTTTTACGACAGGATTCTTTACGTCGCGAAACGATCGGAGCCGCCCGTCGGCATTATCCTTCGGCTCGGTGTTTTAACGTCTTTATTACAACAAACGCGACGCATTTTTATTGTGCCTTTCTGTTCGTCTCAGATCTCAGAAGGCTAAGAAGAATCTTTTCGTAATCAAAAACGCATATTCAGATATTTGTATTGTTTAACTTTATTCTTCACTTATAATTTCATTTTATGAACGTAAATACCAACGCAAATTTAGGAAGATCAACAGCTCGTCTTTTAAAATTAATTTTAAACTGAATAAAAATGAAAATGAAGCAAATATTGTAATTTTTGTGGGTTGACGACATTTATCAAGTATTCATGAAAGTTTGACGTCCAGAAAGATACGCAAACTGGCTGCCAGAATTAATTACCTCCGAGAATGCCGTCGATGGTGTAGTCCTTCTTGCCGTCGGGATCGTCGCGCCGCGTGCCCGTGCGGAGCAGCCGGCTGATGGAGGAAACACTCGGCGGGTCCTGCACTCCTTCCTGCGCTCCGCGTGTAACATGAAAAAAGAAGAAGAGATCAAGTGAGCACACGAACATTAACATGCATATCTAAGGCGGGCAAACTCAATTGCGCCGCCGTTGCCGCCGCCGCGCTTCGGCTAGTGCCGGGAGCACTTGCCTTTGCCACACACTCGACACCATCTTGCGCTTTTATGTGCGCGTCGGGATGTAAGACATCTTCTCTATGTGCAGTCCCTAACTTCGTCGACATGAACGCGAAATTGGATTACGGTGTTACATACACAAAAATGGAAATATATTGAAAATCGATAGGCGCTGGAAATTGCTTTCATAAACCAAAATTCTCGGGCGAAAAATAGAAAAATACACGCACGTCGCTTCTTAAAGTGAATTTGAATAACAACCAGTCATATATTAGAGTGCGAGAGAAATGGGCCAAACTTGAACACTGATAAACTCGCGTGAAACAATACAAATATTTCAAATCGCACACATCAGGCTTAATAAATTCTATTTCAATTATATATAAGTAAGAAATAAGTAGGATTTAAAAATATCAAAATTATGCGCAAATTGATAAGTACTATACTATAAGTTTCTTTAACTGATTAGATTATTTACACTCTTCCAGGTTAATAATAAGGGGTTTCACTCCTTGTATTTTGATTCATGTTCTTCTACTTGCACATGATACCTACATATCTGTAAAAGTGCCATCCGTCAATCTTGCTAATTTCTCAATTTCCTTGTGTTAAAGCTTTCTCTCATTCCATCAAACTTTTCTCCTAATCTGCCAGTCAAAACACTCAATTATTAGGAAAATCCTGGCTTGAAAAACTTGAATAAATCTCCAATCAAAATTTGTCACGGCGGTTTCCAAATGCAAGTTTTAGATGAATTGTGCCACTATACCTGCTCGTATAGGCACCTACTTCCTTGGGATAGTGGAGTTTGGCATATTGATAACGGAAAATGCAAGATCTTAGTTGTAAATTAACTTCCAAAAGACAAAACAAATCGATGCGGTGCATGGTATTTTTTTGTAATAAGTAACATAATCAATTAAACTACAAATTTTATTTTAAACGGTATTAACAAATATGTACTAAATATATCTGTATTGATTTAAATTGTGAAATTAACTTGATTTACTTCCATAATTCTTTTATTGACAAATAAAACATGTAATAACAATAAAAATAGTAAATTCCCTAAAATGTTGTTTTTTTAAATATTACCTAAATTAAATGTATTTGTGGAAATTAAATCTTTAGGTTCCGTTTCTGATTTGACTGTTTAAATTTAAATGAATGGAAGTAAATATTTTATTGAAACAATTTAGACTAAATTAGTGTCAAAAATGTAAATAGTGATTCGTCTCCACTTAATTTTTTATCATCAGCTGATCATTTACATGCCAGAAATTGGGTTGTTTTGAGAAAAAGTGTCGTTTGTCTAAATTTAAGGAATACACGCTCACCATCAGCTACTGTACAAGGTAGTACTGAAAGTACCAAAATATTCTGATTATGTTAATTATAAAATGTTTACGTAAACATATAAAAAGTTAAAAATAAACTAAATAATTCAAGGGAACCATATCTCTTATTATAGTATCTATTACCATGTGTCCAGACTTTAGAATATGAAATGAAAATTATGAACATAGTTCTAGAAAAATGGCAATGTAGATAATTATAAAAACTGTGCGGATATTGTCTTTGCTTAATATGAAGAGAGTATGACCAGAAATAAGAAAACTAATATCCATAGTTTTAGTCATAAATTCCAAGAGTTTGAGACATTTCTTCTTTCAGGAAACGACTACACCTACCGTCACCGTTTTTACAAATCAGCAGCATCCCAAATTTGTTTAAATACAGATCGTACTGGCAAAGACTCCAAGTGAAATTGCCAAAATTGACGGAGATCTCTTACATCTTATATTTTTAAGATGTTCCTGGCTGGAGAGCGCACAACTGAATAACATGAAATATTTAAAAAGAATCCCTAAGTATTTCTTCATTTAACATTTGCGACATGCAGGCGTTCGGTCATCGAGGACAATCGAATATGCATGGAGCAATGCGGCCCGTTGTGAAACTCGCAACGGTGCGAGATAATTATACGTCGCGTAATGGTACTTACTTCGCTTAATACTATGTCGTACATACTCTGGGGCGATATACGCTTACGTAGCCCAGCCGTTGACTAAACGGTAGAGCACCAGCGAGAACAACAGGAAGACAAGAACAACAATAAAATTATGCAAAAAATTGGGCGTGACAGTTTATACGGCACGTATCTACATACTATTTGCATATTATTGAGACGTTCTTCGTGGCGTGCGCACTCCGCCACGATATAAAACGGAGCTTTTTACGCCGGCCGGCGCTGACAGTGGTGGACGAGGCGGCGAAGAGTCTGAGCTGTAATGCCTATGCATATCGCGCATATACTAATTTATTATACTCTCTTATTTTTCTCCGCCGGTGTCGGCGGTTTCGGTGCGGTATGCGCGTGCATGCGTCCGGCGACGCTCCTGCAGCTCCGGCCGACCCGCCGGACACAAGCCGTCCGCACGTATTCGTTACGAAACGCCTCCTGCATTAATACACTATCATCTCGGCACCTGATTCCTCATTCCTGCGATTCCGCTCGTTCTTCTCGTGCCGAGCATTCCGCAAAGGCATGCAAACCTATTCCGTTTTTCATAACACAAAGATCCTTCCGACCCAGAAAATAACTGCAGAAACTGCTCCACATTTTTACCCTGTACAACTAACCCTTTTTTGTTCCGAGATAATAAACTGGAGAATTTCAGTGACTTTATAAAGAACAAGACTAATTTAAAAATGGTCAGATAGGTAGGAATTGCACAGATAGCTACCATCCAAAAAAATGTGTTGCAAAAATTCCAGAATTAAATAAAGACGTAACTTGTGTTATCAAATGAAATAAAACAAGTTTTTACGTAGGTATATTACAGAATTAGTGAGTCGATAATGTTTAGAAATAATATTCATTTACCCAATGAAGCCGCAATGTGGAGGAATATGTAACAATCTAATAAATTTATAAAACATAAATGTCTTTTAATTTTATTAGTTACAAACCATAGAGCACTGTGCACAACACAAAAATGATAACTACACAGAGGAGAAGAGTTGTCTAGCGGACGTGAATATGCTTGGTGTGCAAATTTAGCAATAGTTGCAATGAAAAGTTGAAACTCAGGGTATAAAATGAATTAAAATAATAAAAATATAGGGCAAATCGGTCTCTTCAAATGAAGTTGTAAAGTTATTAAGCACAGTGCAGTTTACAGATTATAATAAAAAATAATTAAATCTCTAAACTGAAACTTACGAATTTTTATGTTATGTTACATTTACGTATTTATATTGCTTTCTTTTTATTTGGTGCAATCTTGTCACTCTTATTTTAATGAGTACGTAGAGTACTACCTACCTATTGCATATATTGAATGTAGTTTTATCAACATTTCTTTTTGTCAAAGGCAAAAGCTTTTACTGGCAAGATAAATAAAAAATTACCCTGCCCCAGTAACGTTTTTCATAAATTTGTTTAACCTAACTCGCTTTCTTGCTAATATCTACTGTCGCACCTCAGCAATGTTAGGCATTCATTTACCACCATAAATTATTTTAACATAGCAGCGAACTCTAAAATTTAAAACCATAGTTCACTGTGCTCTGATCAGCTGTTGTACCTGCAGTTCATCCATTTATAGCCACGGAACACAAATATGAAATTACGCAACTAAATGGCCTATATTTTCCTGTTTAATGATGGCGAACAGAGATAGCCCGCAAAAAAGGATCAAGGCATTACAAGCCTAAATAAGTTTCGAAGGTCGGCATTATTTCGGCATTTAAAGCTATATTTTCCGCTTTAGTAACGGTATATCTATAAATGTTCATTGTTTATTGTTAACATATTGATATTGTTGTTTACACTTACCTCAACTATAATAGTATATTAAGTATCAAGTGGCTGAATGAAGGCTTTACTCACAAGATTGGTTGAAAGCGAGCGTTTAATCAATCGAGTGTTTTACAACGTTTAGCCATGTGATGTTTAGTACACTTTAGAAAAATCTCAGTATCGTGTGAAGCCCCAATGTTTACACTATTTTTTCAACTTCCACTTTATTTCCACGTTAGACTTTTGTATTTGAACTTTAGTATTTACAATCTTTGAAATTCGCACACTACTGGGAATTTTAAGGTTATAAATATCGTGCACCGCCGACACGAGCAGCAACAGTGCCTGCTTTAACTTATTTGATTGACGGCGCATGGCATTTCATATGGTCTAGTGTTAAAGTGTTAGCAAATACGCAGGTGCAAACACCGCCCTATAGATAATGCCCGTGTGTAAAGTACTTTACTCAAGGCTTGGCCATCTGTACCACGTTTTGTGTCTAAAAACCATGAAAAAAGTGGCGCTTTATATGTGAAAATAGATAAACAAATATTACTAACAAATCAATTGGTAATCGTTAGCAACAAGACCAATGGTACAGTTGAGCCAAGTAAATTAATTATATAGAATTAATGCAATGTATAATGTGCTACCTACAATCAAAAATCGTATTTAATATGAATAGTCCCATATAGTACCTATACCAATACCAACTAGGTAACAAAGTAGGAGAGATCGGTGATGGAAGTAACTTTCTTTAAATTTATTTTTTTAGTGTAGGGGAAGGTAGCATAATTTGGACCAGCGCCTAAGTTGGACCACCCGATATCCGCGGACTGTTGAAGTTTATGCAAAAATTGACTGGCCCCTTGTTTTACTCGTATTTATAAACAATTAATGCAACTATTTGGGTTAAAACTTGCCGCGTGCTTTCGTCGTGACAACAACTTCGTGTATCATTGATTATCAAATCTATTATAACGACGTAAGTGCAAGAGCTGTCAAGCCGTTAAAACGTTAGTTTTACCGATTATTATTTTATCATCAGAAAGCTTCTTTATTTATCTATAATTTATAGTATTAATTTTGAGAGGTTATGTTATATTAAGATTGTTGTTGATCATTATATATAAATTCTTCAAGTTGCCCAAGTTGGACCGAAGACAGACACCGGAGTTTTACAGGGAAAACGTATATCATTTTTTCGACCTCCTAGAAAAGCTTGTGGACGACCTCAAATCTTCGGAATGATCCACTGTATGAAATGCCGCACTTTGGTTTATACAAAATGTGCTTGTGTTACTGCTAAAACTAAAATTTACTATTGTGTCAATTGCCGTTAAAAAAGCATGGTCCAATTTAGGAAACCGCGCGGTCCAATTTAGGAAACCGGTTTCTTAATTTGGACCAAAAACACAATTTTTTTAAATTGAAATTTGAGGGGTATAAATATAATTTTTACTTAAACCAAAAATATCATTTTGTTGGTAAGCCTTGTGAGTTACTTTTCCGCTACTTAATTTTTATTGACAGTTTATATGTGGCTCTATAAATCAAAAAATATAAAAATGGTCCAAATATGGCTACTTTCCCCTACATGTTTTTAATTTATTTATGACATTTATACATAAATGTATAGTGGTGTTTTTACTTTAATTTCAAATATCCAGAAAATAGGTAGGTAGGTATTAGGTAGATTGTTTGCAAAAAGAGTGTACTTCTTAACCCCACATATTTCTTGTTAGGTATACTCTACTACTTGTTTAGCAACTGTAAATAGCAAAAATGACAGAAAATGCTTATTGTTGATGAGTTGTTATTAAGTAGGTAATAACAAAATATAGTAAACGCTCAAAGTGAAACATTGTGCAAGCCGTCTGGAACATATTCTACAGACACTCAGCACGTTCTTTTTTCATTGATATAAGTTGTTTGCTGATAGTTTTATTCACTAGCGCGTAAAGCAATAATGCTTTACTTCTAATTGACTAAATATAAAAAAGATATGTTGGCAACGCAAAAGCTCTTTTAGCAATATCAAGCCGCCAAGCTCCGAAACACTCTATTGCAACAAATTATTGATATATGAATAGTGGAAACAGAACGCGCATCCAGTAAAATTTACTTTTGTAATATGCAGTATTATGGCATATCACCAGCTAATAAATATTTCAAGATCAAATATGCACTGCGGGCGCGTTCTCGTGCGAGAAGCACATTCAGACTTTATCCACGAGCGTGCTTACCGATCGACAGTGAGAACACCACAATCATTGTGATTATGCAGAGCACACCACCATGCGGCATGAGACACACGCGCGGCCGCACTTCTACATCCACAACGAACGTGAAAACTTTTTCAAAATGCATATGCATGCCGCGACGCGCATTACCGCAACATATAATAAACGAACGCTAACAGCGGCGACGACGACGATCGGTCCGCAACGACTTGCGGCAACGGCACAAGACGAAATTAATAATTTTCCAACCGAAAGATAAAGATCTACATTTCGTATCTTAGACTTTTAATGTGGGTTTTATGGAGAGCGCATTTTTAGTTAGGCCGGGCTGTATACACCGGGAGATATAGGTACATGCAATCATGCCAATCACATTACAAATTTCTTTTCATATTTTCATGATAATTTTGATAAAATATGCTGATAGATTAGACAAATATAAGATAAGAAATGCATGAGTATGTTTTTTGTTTTCTTTTCATGCATGAACATTGTGCTATCCGCATTGGAATGAAAGAAATGCAAGATTTTAGTGCAATACATAAGAGCAACGTACGAGATAGTTGGACCAGTTGTCCTGCTTGTAATAGCCATTTGGCGAGCCTCTAGTGCGCTGAAAACGTTTACGTGGTGAACATAATTTAAAGGCGGCGAACGGCGCACGTTCCAGCACGATCTGAAACCTGACCATTCTTGCCCCGCGCCATCATCGGCCTCATCGATCAGTCAGTTGTCGTTGTCTTCGTGATCGTGAGTGAAATGTCCTCAAGCGGATCGACATGCGCCCAGCGCATCGCCGCGTTTGATCTTCTACCGATCGCCGCGATCGCCAATACCGGCGGCGACGCTCGCGCACCTCGCACTTTAATCGCTCTAATCTAACCAGATCGCGCCAACAGGTCGAAAATTTCTTACCTTCACCAGCTTCTCGCGGATCTCCCAACCAAATATGCTTGGATTCTCGGCCTTCAGCTGTTCGATGCGTTTCTCCACCTCGGCGGTGGCAACGCGCGGTTTGCTGCCACCGATTACGCCCGGCCGAATGCTGCCGGTTTCCTGGTACCGGTTGAGGATCTTCGACACGCACCCGTGAGATACCCGCAATTGACGCGAGATAACACATGGTCGTATCCCTGCGCTTGCCATTTCGATGATTTGCCGTCGAATGTGATTCGGCAACGGACGACCGTTGATGAAGACGCCGCCTAATTGATTCACCCTGCCTTGGCCTGCAATGAACACACAAACATTACAATCAGATTCAAACAGTTGTTGCCTGTCTATGAAGCAAAAAAAAATGTAGCGATGAGAAAGAAACGCTGGAACGGAATTCAATGAGACTGCAAAATGAGGCGTGAGTTTGTGCATCGTCTCCTTAATGATTATTTAATCGTCGCCCGTGCGGTTTGGTTACGCTGATGGGATGTCAAGTGCGAGCCTGCGAGGTAGGAAGCTGGAGTGCTGGAGAAATGGGGATAATGCGGCAAGCGTAAGGGGTGGTCGCGAGCGCGAGAGTAATTTGGAAGGCCGCGACGAATCGCGCTACTATAATTTTGTTTCTCCGACATCGCACAATCGGAACGTTTGGATCGCCGTTTGCGGTTCACGCTCACGGGTTACCATCAGATCCATCAGGTACCGCAGCAATGCGACGTCGGCAGCCGCGGTAAGTTTGTAACGATGCTCTCGACATCGTGTTGAATTTCGCCGGCGGATACGACGCACATCATGGAAAACTCAATGCGATGCCACACAGCTCATGACCACTTTGGTCTTCTAATACCATTCATTCAGGTTCTTCGATGCAGTGCCGGAATTTAGGCGTTTAATCATGCGACGCGTTGATATCGCGCGTGTTGATTATTTCGTGAGGACGCGTGAGGATGGAAATCCGAGGCCGGCGCGTGATAGATGAATCCGTCAAGAGTTATTAATTATGTTATTTTATGATGCAGTCGTGTTTCTTTTTGTCGCCGCGGACCCTGTGTGCCTGAAAGAGCGGGCTGACTCTTCGAGACCACGAGGAGGTGCACGCGCGCTAAATTACCTAAAGTGGCCAGATATGTGCAGGCATCGCGCCTCCGAAAATATGATTGAATGAAGAGAATGACTCACGAGCACCTCATAACTTAACATTAACCGAGTGCGGCGGTGTGGCGAGAAGATGGAAAAAGCGTGGCCAAAAGGTTTAAGGCTCGGAACACCCGCCGCAACAAATGATACGTTATTTTGGAATTAAAGCAAATCAAATAATTAGAAGCAGGCGTTGCCCGGCAAACTAACACACAAAGAAAACCCAGCGTGTTTGCAACGGCCCCAAATTGACAGTCTTTTTTCACACTCTGATGGTGGGCCTAACCAACACTTAAGGCATCATCATCGATTTATAAACTTCAAAAAGTTTAAGTAGCCGCAGAGAGAAGGAAGCCGCACGTGAATAAAGAAGGAAGAACGAGCATTAAGAATGAGGAGCAACGTGATGATGAATCTGAAGAAAAGCACTTCGGGACATGCATTATTGTAAATGTAAGTAATTATGAAAATGATAAAAACTTCACCGAGAATATCGAAAATTGCACTTTAATGGAAGTAATGCTCATGCACGCCAAATCGAAATATAATTAGAATATCAAATTCATAGAACAAACAGCAATAGTTCTTACCCTGGAAAGGATATCCGCCAAATATCGGGCGCATATCCATCTTCACTCAATTTTATTACCACTGCCGTCGTTAATCGTTCATCCGAATTGCAAAACAGCCACCGTTATCCTTTTTGATGCACTTATTTCGCGACAAACCCGAACGCGATCGGGGAGGCTCGCGGCGCTATTCTGCGCGGTACCTTCAAAACGGCGCTCGCGTGTCGCGGCCAGAAAACGAACAACACGACGTCCAGCTCACCATAGCCAGGCACCGGGTGCAACGCGAAAAAACTCCTCGACTCGTGTCAGTTTTTGCATCCCGGGATTATCACCGGATTGGACGATCGTTGGTTCGAGTCGAAGTAACGTGCATTTTTACGCACATAAACACAGGGACGCGCACACCTATGGCCCCGCAAGACGCCGCGCTACGCAAATGCATGCGCGGTGGAAAAAGTAAACGACTCTTTTCGAAACGTGCGCGGCGCGTACTTCACACGCTCCACGTACGTTGGTCGTGTCCCGCTGGCCGACGGTTGTTATTGCATCGCATGTGGGTATTGCGGCGGTACCAGCGCGGAGTGCGCTCAAAATCGACGCAGCGTGGTTGGCTGGCCGCGGCGGCGAGGAGGGTACCTGGAAATGGAAATCGCGTGCGACCAGCTGCCGCCGGGGCGCGCGGTGTGCACGAGGGGAAGCACCGAGAGTTTCCGTCGCGCTACCATCGGCCCGCCGCATTAAATCGCCTTCCTTGCTTCTTTATGCTTCATTTGCGCGCACGTACGCGATGTATGGATTTGCGGCTGATGGTGTGCGTGCGCCCGGTGCATGGTATCCTTTTTGGGTGGGACTTGGAACGCGCGAGCCGCGCCGCTCCGGGTTCCCTCCATGGGTGGGAACGTTTTCCTGGACGGTTGCCTCTCTGCTGTCGCAGTTGGCTTAATGCGTGATGATTTAACGTCACTTTAATTGAATTGTACCGGGCATAATTTTTCTTCGACCAATCCGTTTGCGACGGAAAAACTTCCCTATCCCGATTGATTGATTTACCATTTTCTCATGTTCAAACACGACTAAACATTTTGTCGCAAATCTTGATTGTCTTGCAATTATGTGCGGCAACCTTAGGTGTGTGAATTACATGCAAATAGAGTACCTACTATACTTTATCTCGGTGCATTTTGAATATAGTTATACTTACAACTCAATATATGTGTATCAAGTTTACTACTATGGCGAAAATAATATGTAGGTACCTACTTACACAATTAGGTACATTGGCCAAATACGTTAGTAATGGCCGTTTCACAGAGTACTCGGAGATAAAAACTATTTCTTCTTTCGATTTTAATGGCCTGTATAAAGTGAATTGATAATAGTTGAAGTTAAGCGTGACAAGAAATTCCTTAGGTACCTATTTTGTCAATAATTCTGAACCTACATGTTTACGCATGCAGCCTACCAATACAAAATGTGGTATTGTTTTAAAATTTTGTGAAATGTACCTATGCTATCGTGTGCAATTTATATTTAAAGTGGAAGTGTAGTATTAAAAAAAAAAACATTTATCTTGGAGAAAAACATTTTGTAGTTGATTTGGTGCGTTTTGCCGCATAAAACACAACGCCATAATTACGACATTTACCACCAACCACACAACAAAACAATCATTATTGATATACATATTGGGACAACGTAAATGCATGAATTATATTTCTTTAGACTTAAGTAACAATAAATGATTTTTATCAATGGGATGTCGAGTCAAATTCTTTACAGGGCAGGTAGCTAGCTAGCAAACGGCTTTATTAATTTAAGTAGGTATACCGAATTTGACTTTCGATATAAGAATCGAACAAGAAAGTTATAGGTACGTTGTCGAATGGAATGGCATAGTTGTTTGTCCTCCGTTGCTATAGCAACGTCGTGTTTGAGCCTGTGATGCTTGATTGCGTGACAATCAAGTGGGAATACTACTCAAGTACATGATTGATAAAGTTTCGAATCTCGTTTCTCATACAAAGAAATTTTTATGCGTTTCAACTATTTTTTGACGCATTCTCTTCTCTCAATGTACAAATTGGTACCGAGCTGCATATTTTTATATTTTCCATTATCATTTCTTACACAATTCCCATATTTTAGCAAAATCAATGTTTTTGTTCAGTGTCCCACCCAATTCTCTACCTACCTACCAGAAGCAAGAATTTAAAATTATTGATCGCCAATAAAAACTTGTAGGTACCTTGTGTAGATATAGTTACCTAGTGTGCTTCCTAACTTTGATTTATGTTTGCATTGTTTTGTTTTTTACCTATATCAAAATTTACTTTTCTAATAAAAAATGTTTATTACCAAATTAAATTTTTATCCAGAATAAATCAATGTTCAAAAATCAAATGTAAAGTAAAGGTTGTTTGATGGTTTATTAAGATCCAATGAAAAATTTTTGTTATTTCTTATTATGTAAGGAAATGCATAATAATCATAATTGGTTTTCCTCTCATATCAAATGTAATACAAATCTGTACTGTACAAATTTTGAATTATAACAATGGTAGGTACCTATATTCGAACTAAACACATACCCACATGGACAGCATAGATCTTAGTAGATCCTCCACGGATTATCACGTTGATCCAATATTTTTTGTACTGGACCAGTTTAAACATGCAACAAAAACGTATTCAATGAACCAAAACGAAATATTTCGGAAAAGCACGGCGTGCACGTCTTTCGCCTGGGCGACTTACCAGGTGGTCTTTATGCTCGATTTAAGAATTCGTCACTTACCTAACATTTCTTATAACTTACTCGTCTCAAGCAGTTTTTCACCGAATTCTAAGCTAAAACAGTTTCACGCAGCAACATGCCACCAGCGTGTGCCAGTGCCCGGTGAAATTAAAGATTCTTTCGCTGACCAAACACATCGCATAAGCAAATAGATTCAAATTTTCATGGTGCTCATCTGGAAATGTACTTTTCTGCATACCCTGTCTGAGTTCGGCCCATAGAACCAAATCAATGCGTACCTATTGTATTTCAATATTACGCATATAGGCATGGGTAAGATGCAAACATTTGGTAGTTACTTACCATTTTTCGACTTTAACGTGTGCTCCCTCTAGAGGTGCACGAGAATATTGGGTTAGTTATGGATTTACTCATTGTACCTACATTTTCAGCCAACTTACGTTTTACTATGTTCAGTTTGGGAGCGTATTCTATACTATTTACGTATATTTTAATACTTTTCCGGGTAATTGAATCTACAATTGAATACCTACACGAAAACTATCTTCCGACAAATTATAATCATATGAAGGTAATAAGAAACTATGAAGTGCATTTCACTTTTCAAAATAAATGAAAATTTCAGTTAATTTTACTGGCAAAATAATCAGAAATCAATAATAGACGTCATCGTGTGTGGTGCAATCTAATGCATCAACGTGGCATGTTCTTCTGCCAATAGACATACATATTCACCCTTGCCGTACAACAACACTCATGTTTTTATATTCATCATAACCAGAGTATACAAAAAAACCTCTGATCGTAGAAATAGTACTTTTCTGATGAAATGATCACCAACAAGATCGATTGTGATTGATCTGAACGGTGTAAATTCATTGAGGCCCCATGTACCATCCAGCAAGGTGGCAAAAATATAAATTTGCCGATGTTACTTCTTTATCAATCGAACATGAATGAGCAAACACCAAACACGCATAAACAATGCATGGAGTCTCGGACTGCGAGACGTTGGTTCACAAATCGATCAAATATTTAGACGAATTATCTCATGGGACTATCAAGAAGCAATTGTAGCTTTCTTGTTGGCACTCACAAGAAGCGTAGCTACATCCTGTGGTCGAACAAATTTAACTCAAATATTAACATAGTCTCTAGAGACCTATTCGATTGGTGGCAGGAGGCTATAACGTCTTCTTTGCGGGATATATTGCTGGGCTGGTGAAGTGACAATGGCTTTCAAAATTTTATCATTACCTAACAGAAAATGAAATTACCCTCTGAGGATTACCTCTCTAATTCTGACAGCTTCAAACCCTAGCGTTGGGTAAACTTCCACAAAACGCATTTTGAGGTAAGTACCTATTGCTACTGTGCGATTATGAATTTGAAAATATCATTCCCAACATGTGGTGGCTGTGTTGGTAGCAAAAGAAAGAAGCAAATCTAGAGCATTTAGCCGATTTCCTCGAGTCTCACCGTTCGCTTCGTGTCATTGCGCGTGGCGGTTTCTTTTTCTCTAGTTGCGTGGCGTTTTCGTCCAAAAGGCGGAAAATTAATTCGGGATTTTATTGCGCTACACGTAGAAATCATAACTAGTTTTATTCTCGCAGGCGCTCATGTCTTCTTATTGCGGATTCGTCCGGCATTCATCGTCGCCAGCCGCGAATCGCCGGCGACACTCACGCGACTTTTGTGCGCGACTCTCGCGGTCCATTCTCATTCGGACAGAGCGCGCGGCTCTCGTCGGCGCATTTCATGGGAAACGATAAATTTATCATTTCATGGCGACACTTTTATTGTTTTATAGCGCGCATTTTTCCTCGGCGAATGTGCATGATACACACGTGTGTGTCATCGGACGTTGTGTTGCGCTCGGCGAAATATTGCAATGCCGAAGAGGGCACACCAGAGGCCGTGAGAAGCTGGCCTCTTTTCGGTGCGAGCGCGCCAACAACGATTGGCGAAGAAAAAAGAAAATTCGAGAAACGAATGAACACGCAGCGCGAAGAGTTTTCCAGCGCATCGCATCCGTGCGGCCGTTATTTAATTTCAGAAACTAATTTCAAGCCGAAGAATTGAATGAAGTCGTGTGTACGTTTTGGGTGATGTTTTCAATTCAATTCACGCTTAATGAACTCGACGCGACTCAAGTGCCGAAAGTCGCGCGAGCGAAGGGCTTTGTGGATGCCGCCCGTGCGCCCATCCGATGCCCCGCGGCCGAATTTAAAGCCCAAAGAGCCCTCGTGCGCTACGAAGCAATAAAAGTGTGTTTCAGGTGTCGGCATGCCTTTTCTCGGCTTTCTTCTTGTCTGCATCGCCGCTATTCTTCGCTTTAATGATGAACAACCTACCCTTTGCCCTAGTTATTATTCAATGCATTGGCAAAGTCAAACGACGAACATTGGCGAAACAATAGAGCACAATCTTAAGCCCTTCATGATGAATCTCGACTGTGAATAGAGCCTAGTCGTGCGTATTGACTTAACGACAATTCCTTCGGTAGGTACTTCCACTCGCCGCTAAGTAACATTTAAATGACCGCCTCGATTGCTTTTCGCTTGTATACCAATAATAAAACATTAATCTCGCGCTCGGCGGCGAGCAAACGAGTCCAGCCGCAGCGTGTCTTGGACGACGACGACAGCTCGTAGATTACATTACTGCGGCCGGCTGTGTGCCGGTTTGTTTGCGGGCAATGCGCGGCGGCGGCATCGCGGCTCAATCGGGCGCGCCTGCCGCTGCCACCCCGCACTGCTGCCGCGCGCCGCACGCCCGAACAATCACCAATTCGTAGGAGAATGCGTGCGATGCATAAACAACATAATTTAATTGAAAATGACGCGATTTTCGAAATATATTGCGGCGCAAACGAACGCCGCCACAATGACACGATGCCGACCATTGTTCGTCGGGCTGATACGTTTTGGCGGCGTGCGTGAAGTGCCGCTCTGGCGCAGCTTCGAAACGCTTTTGCCGTTGACTTGAATGAGTTATTTTACAGATCGTGAAGCGCGACACAATGCGCAATGCCAGCGTGCCCATGCCGCCTAAGCTCCCAACAAGGAATCAAACCTTTGCTAAATTGCATATTACAAAGAGGCCATCAGTGCAGCCAGCTTGAATTCTAACCGCCCTTGGAAGCTCTCATTTCAGATTTCTAACTCATTAAGAACCACCAAACGAATGCAACTGAAACATGTTCAATGTCCACCTATCATTTATACAAACCATTTTTTCTCATAATTCAAACATTGTATCCACTTATCTTGCTTGAGGTCATGCAGGTAGGTATAACATGTTTCAACAAATTTCAAGTCTCTCATTTTTTTCTTCAAAAAATACGTACCTACTTAAGCAAGAAACAGAAGAAAATGTGTGTGTGTGTGTGTGTGTGTGTGTGTGTGTGTGTGTGTGTGTGTGTTTTAAAGTTAAGAATGATCTAATAAGAACACGATAAAAAATAAAATCAAAGTATCGTTGCACTGAAACTGGTGGACACTGGGTTGCGTGAAACTACTTCTAGAAGCCTTCAAACCGAAGAACTGAAGAAGCTATCTTGGTTCACATGCACATGCACACACACATTGATAGGAGCGCCCTCGCGTACACCATTCGGGCGATGACAAAAACTCATATCAAAGTCGGCCGGCTTTGTAGACTTGCCGTCGCCAGAGGTGGTCCGGTACGCGAGCGTGCCGATCGGTACGTGCATGTGAATTCCGCATTGTCGGTGCCGGGCTCCCCCACAAAATGACATGCAGCAGAAGCACCGCCTCGCCATCCAATCGAAATCCGTGCGGCGCGATACTCAAACAGGCCGCTGCTGAGACTGATAGCTATCGGGGAGGGGCTTGTATGCAGGTACCGCCATAGGACCCATCGGGGTACCATCTAAGAAGCGCGACCAGCTTGCATCCTTGGTCAGTTCGCTCTCAGAGTCGACAAGTTGCGGTGCGTTTTTTTGTGAGGTACCACTAAACATCCAATAAAACTGAAATTGGCTACGATTAAGTTTGGTGTCATCATCGAGTAGGCCAGTGACGCCAGTAAACAAGCTGTTGTATCTTCGCTGTGCAGCGACTGCTTCGTGTGAAAGTGTTTTGTTAAATGGCAGTGTCTGCTTTGAATATGTCACCGTACTTCACCGGATATCCTTTTCAAGGTAAGGACTTGATGCATATAGTTCATTATTTGCTCATCTTTAGAACTTCAAAATTCATCAAATTTGCTCATGTTGCCCTTAGTAGAGTTGTTTTGGAGTGTGTAAAATAAGACGTAGGGTATCGAGTTACCTTGGTACGTGTGATGATCCAAAGCGTTTATGAACCGTGGGCGTTCGCGTATGTAAATTTTGGTTCGGCCGTTCAAAGGCGAACGTCACCGCGGACACCTCGGGAAGGTGTCGGAGGAGCAGCATGCCGGCGCGAAGAAGAAGCATGGTCGCGTAACTCTGCACCGCGGCGGGCCGCGAGACGGTTTCACGTCGCACGGATGGGCTCGACATGCGCGCGCGGCACACCAGAGCGGCGCGGCATCCTTTGATCTCAGGGGACTAATGCCTGTTTTCATCAACGCCCGGGTACTACACCTGATTCAATAACTCGTCGAGCTCTATTACGTCCGCAATGCGGCACACCATCAATTTCACTCGTGTCCGCTTCTTTCGAACTCATTCACTAACGTAACGCACGTCCCATGGCATCGCCCGGACGACCATACATCTCCTCAGCTTGGCATTGTTTTTTTCCATGTTTTAAATTTTCAATATAAACCCAATTAGTGTATAATGAAGTAATAATGCGAAAGTTAAACTGATATTGGTATGGCCCTGACAAAACCGTGTTTTTTCAGATCTTTCATTCGATATGTATGTTTACAAATAATTGATTCAATTGTCATTCATACAATAAAAACACTCGGTATAATGCATGAAAAAATAGTTTTGAATCTAATAAATACAAAGAAAAAAAAAACGTTTATGCATGATATTATGATTCAGAAGGAAACATATCTGTACGAATATAATAGGTGGGCCGAAGAAGAAGAAAGAAAGGTACGGCCGAAGTAGGGCTCAAAACAACAGAAAAAAACAACAAGGGTGGTCTGTTAACACCCAATTGAGCAATCATTACGGTTAATTGACTCTCTTCTAACCATCACTTGACCATTTCGGACCGCACCGCTCCTGATCCCAGGTCTTTGGCATGATCTTATTATAATCCAATAAACGGTTTTGTCCATTTTTCCTCCTCTAGTACACACCATGCCATATCATTATTATAAGGTTCTTAAATCTTTTTTGTATGCTCAAGATGAACATTTCTTTACAGGACAAGGTCGCGTGAATCAATTGGGCGGCGTGTTCATCAATGGTCGCCCTTTGCCGAATCATATTCGCTTGAAGATAGTCGAGATGGCATCCACTGGTATTAGACCGTGTGTGATTTCTCGACAGCTGAGAGTATCCCACGGGTGTGTATCAAAGATTTTGAACCGCTACCAGGAAACTGGAAGTATCAGACCGGGCGTAATTGGGGGCAGCAAACCGCGCGTCGCCACCGTCGAAGTAGAAAAACGCATTGATCAATTGAAGCAGATGAATCCTGGAATTTTTGCATGGGAAATTCGGGATAAGCTGGTTAAGGTAGGCATTGTGAGTTTTATCGCTGAAATCTATTATTAGGTGGGCTTAAAGTGAGGAAAATTCTAACGGTTGTCGATTTTGCTTGCAGGAAGGAGCATGCGACAAGAACTCGGCGCCGTCGGTCAGCTCCATCGGACGCTTACTGCGCGGCGGTCGCAAGGAAGACTCGATGGACCGCAAGAACCATTCCATCGACGGCATTCTCGGTAAGTGTAGCATTTTGTTTCGTCGTATTACATCGCGTGTTCGTGTTTAATGTGTTTATATCAACGCGCAATGAGTAGTGATTCACTTCGCGACGGTATAATCATACTTCATGCCAGATGCACTCTGATACTAGGCATGTAATTCCAAGTGCTTAATTATTGACACGCTCGAGTGGTAAGCCGCTAAAGGTGTAATTAAATCGAAGTGTCCTTTATTCGTGATGATCGACCGCCATTTAATTAGAGTATAATCACTTTATCAATGCTCATTGGAACACTATTGATTGTTATAGGCCCCGCATCGTCCTGTGATGAAGAAACCGACACTGAGTCGGAACCGGGTATTCCCTTGAAGCGTAAACAACGTCGCAGCCGCACCACCTTCACTGGAGAGCAACTAGAAGCGCTTGAACGAGCTTTTGCCAGGATGCAGTATCCGGATGTGTACACCCGCGAGGAATTAGCGCAGAAAACAAAATTAACTGAAGCGCGTGTGCAAGTGTGGTTCTCTAATCGTCGTGCCCGTCTTCGTAAACAAGTCAACTCACAGCAATTGAATGCCTTCAACACCATGTCCCTACAATCTTTCCCATCCGTGCAACAACACTACCCTGAGAATGTTGGCTCGTTCAACCAGGCGTCTTGGGCGCAGCAGAGCTACACTTCTAGTGCACTTTCATCCAGTCTCGCCACCTCCGCCTCAGCACACCATACGTCACCCACCAACACACCAACACCGCAAGCCGCCACCAACCAGAGCCTATCAAGCGTACCGTGTGTTCCGGGAGTCTCCAGTTCTCTGTACGCTTCATACAACTCTAACCCTGCCGGAATGGAACAAAACTTTGGTTATCAGATGACGCAAATGAGCCCCAACCAGCATAGCATCTCACCGCCGGCATCACAGACCGTCGCGTCCGTCGGCAGCGCACCGAACAGCGTCTGGGGCCATCATGGTGTCCATTCCGCTGCCGGCAGCATAAAACCGGAACAAATTACTTCGGCATGGCACGAGAATTACAGGTAGGTTTTAATTTTGTTTTTATCTTCCTTCTGTGCGCTCTGGTAAAAAATGAAAGAAAGTACGCGCGTCAGCGCAAGAAAAATACTTACAGACGCACAAAAAGCGATTGGATTTCTATGCAAACAGTATGCAAGTTCCGTATGGCACTTTCTAGTCGTATCTAGTCAATTTACCTACGCCAATGCCAAAATTACAGATGCAAATCTAAAACGCGTGATTCTCTTCTCACTGCTAACAATGTGATCGCGTAATTCTCGTACGTGAATTTTGATCCGAACTTTAATGATACGCCAATACCTGTCTGCATCATCAAGGGTTCGCTTCAACTGGTGACTGAACAAATGTTTTCTTTTGCAGTTTGTTCGCCGCTGGTGGCCATTACGGTGCGCACTCGCCCACAGAAGCCAAGTCCGGATATCCTTACTTCGGTGCGATGGAAATGTGCACGAGTCGAGTGCATTGAGCGTCGACGTCAACGCACAACACACACGCCTACACCCACACATCCGCACACATTGTACATTTAAAGGCACACTAACTTATTTTAAACGCTTCGCAGCGTTTGGGCAGAGTAAATGATTTAAAGTTTAAGCAAATATTTATATATAGATGTAGTTGTATTTTGATAGTTCTATTGGTTCGCAATGATGGCGTGCGAAGGAGGGGCCTCGACATGAAGGTAGTATCATCGACACGTTTTGATTAATTTTATGTGTTTATGTAAATAAATTGCGCAATAGTTCAGTGTAATTAAAACAGTATGTATTTATACAATTATTTTTTTATTGAAAATAAAATTTTTGAAATGCATTTGGGACGTTTTTCTTCAAACCGCACTCTGTCGCTTTTCGTTATTGTGCTCCTAAAAATATCCGCTGATTGGTTGTGGTCATTTAAAACTATACGGTTCGCAGAACAACTACTAAATACCCTCGCATGGCGACACAAAGCGGGTCGGCGGAGACGGTTATACGCAGCCGTCGATTACTTCATACCTTCTTGACTCGTTTAAAACCTCATCCGCTGGCATCATCTCGTGTATACCAAAAGAAAGGAAACGTATATTTGACGTCACCAATTCAAAAACGTCATATTTATTGGAAATATCGTAAAGTTGGAAGCAAAAAAGTCGAGAAGTTTTATTTATTGTTACTTTTGAAATTTGGAATTTTTATTGCTTGTCCGCCTCTCCCTTCAACACCAGGTCGGCGTGCCTCGATTTTACAACTGCCATATATTCCGCGCACATATTGTACACAAGTTAACGCTGGCGGAACCGAAAGCAAGTTTGCTTCGGACTGTAAATCAATCAACGGTTTGTAGAAGCTCACTGATCATTAAAGCATGTTCAACGGCAGCTACAATTTGACTCAATTTTTGACTTACAGTATTGCGTGTGCATCACGACGGGAGCTTCCTCCAGAAATGATATATGTAAATGCAAAAAGACGTGCACGGATAGTAATGGAAAGTTGTGACTATAAAAGCTTTATTGTTTTATGGCCTATTATCATGATATTTATTGGCTTATTGTTGACTCTTGACTTCTGTTGAGCAAACGACGGAGCGCAGTGCATTCCTAAGTTCGCACAAGGAGTAAATAATTTGCTCATCCGTCAATGGCGCACAACAAAAAAAATAATAAGTGCAGAGATTGCTTCGTGGAAGGTAGGTACGCGCCGGCAAGACGAAGGAGCTAGAAGCTCGCTTCGACAGGAGGCAAGAGGCGAGAAAGCAAGTACCATGCGAAGCAGGCGATCATGCGCATGAATAGCAATTCGACTACTGTAGTAATAGACGGTTGTAAATCAACCCTACTCGATGATCAACGTGTACCATCATCGAATCATCTTCAACTACTATGTTAGGCTAAGCACAGAACACGATTCATGCACGTGTGACGTGTGTGGAAAATGATGCCAAGACCAGCGTAACGTTCTTGCGTTCAAGGCATAAATTTATTAGCCGAGTTCATATTTCGCAAGTGTTTTAGACCCGTGTAATTGCAATAAATAAGTATAATGATTAATTGACAAATAAAGTTATTTATGGTATTGGTGGCATTTTATCCAAGTGTCACTTTTATTACGTTTTTGCGATTACGATTGTGAAAGGTGTGGATTTCTTCAGATTATGTAAAATTGTTTAATAAATTGCATTGGCAATCTAGTAGGAATGATAATTGTTTGATGAATAAATTGCTCTATTAGCTCCCTAATGGATCATTGATTGCAAACAAATCAGGACCTGGATAATCAAAGATTTGGTGGGACCCCCCAACGTTCACGCTGCACACAAATCGACCCCCCACGGCGGGCGCACTTAGTGCGAGCCTATTGTGTGCAACAATGAACCATTGTCGCGCGTTGTTGTGTCGGAGTAGCCGCGTTTTCCTCGCCGATCGACAGAATGAAGAATACGACAAACGACAGTGATACCTGTCCCGCGCCCGGCCCCATGTCTCATGTCCCATGTGATCCAAAGTCATTGCGAAAAATCTATGCATGCTTGGTGTGGACGCCATAGACGCGACGAAGGCATCCCGTCGTAACTGTTGACAGGCGTGTTTGATATATTTCTCGGGCGCAATGCGACTAAACGATGCGGCGACAATGGCGCACAATGGCGAGCAGTAATAGATCGCCCCGACTCTGCAAACCTCGTTGTTGTTTGCCCATGAACTCGAAATATACAGGAGAACACCCATTCCGAGCTACCCCACACACAGTTGTTACAGGGTGAACCGAACATCATGCGAAAGGCATTACCACGGCAACAAAAGGGACGCACCCTTTAGGGCGGTGGAACACAAAAATAGGGTAGCGAGTAAATGGGGTCATCGTGATTCTACGTTGAGGTAGGTTGGCGCATGTGGGCCAAGAATGGCGGAGGCCGCGCTAACACCGGGAGCGTTCAAAGCAAATCCGCGAGGTCCACTCGAAGAAGCAACGTATTACGCGGCGTGAATTAATAATGCAACGGGTGGGAAACGGGAAGCAGCAGACTCCGAACATCTCGTTAAATATGGGTTATTAAGTGGTCATTAGTGCGGAAGGTTACGCCGAGCGTTTCACAACCGATAATTATGAAAAGTTAAACACCACCTTAACGATTTGATTAAATTATAGAGCTCACACGCCACACAGCGCCAGAGTGCCGCATCAGAAGGGAGGCGTACGCTGGCCGCGGCACGATGAAACCCTTTAAGAACGTGATGCAACTTCGTGCTGCCTGACGACTGTTAATATTTCGTGCCGCCGTGATGAATCAATTTCGCGAGCAGCGTTTTCGCGCAAACGCATTCATTCGGTAACGACTCCCACAATAAAGCGCGAGCGCCCGCCATTCATACACCGTTCCACGTGCGCCACTTGTAAGTTAGTGTGCTACCTAAATAAATAACGTTTCTAATTTGGGATGTAAATAATACGCATGAAACACGGCAAACACGCATTCCGAATTTCGACGAATAAAGGTTGGGCACGGTTGATGCAGAGGTGCGAAACGCTGAAACGCTAAAACGGCATGCCCAATCTAATTATTCCACATTACATGCATGGCGATTGCGATTAAGGACGGACTCATCCTTCCTTCATGGCTAACATTCATTCGCTTTGCTTCTTATGCTTTAGAAGGATGCTTCAAGGATAGGTAGATTGAAATGCTAAATGGGCGTTTTAATAACGATTTGAATAAATTTATGCTAATTATCAAATAATCATTAGTTAAACAAGTAAAAAAAAAGTTTAACCAGAAAGTGACAACTAGCAAATCAGGAAAAAAGGTTTAGTAAATCTAAAGGTATCTAAAGTAATGTTTTGTTTTTTTGAAGTGTTGGTACCTACATTATTTCTGAAATTAATTAGTCTGTATTGAAAGATTTTTGCGTATTGTAGGTATATTTTTTTGCTTGCATTGGTCTAAAATAAATTCCTCAAATAAAGTAAGACTGTGACAAAAATAAAGAATTTACTTTCCATAATACTTACCTATAGGTACCTGTCTATTTTTAGTTTTTGCTATCAATATTGTTTTATAAACAGTTTTCTTATAAGGCAACAGTATCGCCAGACTTTGGTCCTGCGCTGACTCAACTTTAAAACATTTTTGTCATAAGTTTCATTACATGTAATGATAATAGGTATAGTCACTCATTTAAACTAGAATCTCGATGAAATCACTGGAAAATTGTCGTCGATAAACTACAAAACAACAAATGTTAAAATTGTTAGATACAAGATTGTGCCATGATTTGCATTTACAAAAATCACATATGTCCACTTACCTACAAATTGTTAGGTAAATGCTTTAACACGATATAAATTTCCAAAAGTAATTTTATTTATTTTTTGAGATTTCACAAAAGTATGGAAAGTTTCAGTGTAACAAAAAGCAAATTAATTACATTTGCGAGTCATACTAAAAAATAAATTAATTAATTGACGTACACACTGCAAGATTTTACTAATTAACTACTGTAGGTAAAAAGAAAACCTCATCTGGGATGTTTTATGGAGAAAATTTTGAATATTTAAAATCCAGTACATATTTAACAGTAGTTCAAGTTTACCTAAACCCGTATAACCAAGCATGATATCACCATTAGTTAGGTCGTGTTAGATACGTCTAACTAGGGGATCGAAACAATTTTCCCACTTGCAAACTCCTTGCAGCGCTACCGCCCGGTTCTAACGCAACAACAACACCGAATCGAATGAGTTTCCATTAATCGACAAAGTTAAATCAATAAACGCGTCGCCGTCGGGCAGAAATGAATGAATCTCAACCACCATTTCGCAGTGGCAAACATGGCCGCGTTAGATTATCGGCTCTCCCCGCATGCTCGAACAAATAAAAGAAATGCGAGGGGTGGTTATTTGTTGGCTGTTGCGCTTCGTTCAGCTGTTCTGCTGCTATCGCACTCGGAAGGCGCAAGGTGAAGATGATGTATGAACGCGGCGTGTATGTAGATCCGACAGTGTGTGCCCCGCGTAAGCGCAAATCCAAACAGCGCCCCTTGGTCCGCGCGTCGCTTAGAAAAAGCGAAAAATGCTTCCACGCTTCACGCCGCATTTTCCATCGTAATTCGTTGTCGTTTTGTTCAAGCCGAATCCAGCCGGTTGCTCCCGGCCGGCAGCGTGCGCGTTGCACACGGAGGTAATGGCAGCGCTTTCTATGTCGATTAGCACGGATGTCACGGGCCACCCTGCGCCACAGATCACACGTTACAAAGCGACGATGAATTTTCTGCGATGCCTAACCCCGTCGTATGTATGCACAGCAAGCGCGGACAGCCATCGTAGTGTAGTGCACATTGTTCCCCGGTTTGATAGGGTATTAAAAATGATTATTCTGATACCATTTATGCGGAAATCCACGAGATCGAGATGCGCTAATGGCAGAAAAACGCACGTGTGTGCGGCCCAGGCATCTTAAACCGCATCGGAAGTCCGAAACCGATTTTTTCCACAAAGATTTTCACGCCGAATTATCCGTAGTTTCAACGTGTTTTTTCTTCTTCTTCTTTTATTATGTTTTTTTTTCAATACACTACGTTGCTAAAGTGCGTGTGCGTGTGACTTAGTACGTCCCACATCACTTTGTGCTTCTTTATTATTTATGCCACACGCAGATTCTGGCACGACGCCATGCGAGGTAAGCTTTGATGTCGTCGAGGA